CTCTCCCACCAGTGGGAATCCCACGGCAGATGGGAGCAGCCAGCAGGCCCAAGGCCCTCCCAGCTGCAACAATAAATCCTAGCTGACATTTTGCACCTGGTTTTTTCAGCCGGCGGGATCGCAGAGCTGACTCAAACCCAGAGGAATTGCATAACACGGTGCGATGGGAATGGCTGCCTCCTGCATCCATGCTGGATCCAAACCCTCCTTCCAGCACTCTGCAAGGAGAAAAGGACCCTCAAAGTGGGTGTGAAGGTCTGTGCTGCCAGAGTGTAAATGAGAATCAGGCCTGACAGCCTTTAAACAGCCCGGCAGCGCAGAGCCAGGCGGGAAGGCTGTCCAACTGAAATACCAGGGATTTAGGCAACCAGAAATTTGGAAGCAACAACAGGACTGGTTGGAACTGAGGCGAGGGCTGGTGTTATCAGATCTGCCAGCTCCAGAAATAAACAGGAATAACAAAATATCACGGCCCGCAGCTTGAATCTTGGGTTTTCTAAAACTTGATGCTGACCGAGTTAATTTGGTTTGTTAACTGTGCAGGAACATTCTGGGCACCAGTTTGAGCTTTCTTCCCAAAAAAACATGAGGTCTTAGAAACAGGCTGTGATGAGGTGAGGTGTTGCAGGGAGCAGAGGTTCCTGTGCAGTCAATCACCTGCCTGAGCTCCTGAAAAACAAGCACAGATATTCCAGTGGATCCCAGGATGACCACGAGCCCCTTTCCAAGGCCGCTGGTAGATGTTCCCACCGGCACTCAGAGGGCAGACTGCCACCTAGTGAACTGCTCTTCCTCCTCCTCCTCCTCCTCCTCCCCTTTAAAGTGTCATCCCTGCTGATTCTGGTTTCATAGGAAGGTTTTGGAGGGCAGGAATGAGCATTTTGAAGGGATGTGAGATGCTTTGTGAGGCCCCATCTAATGTGACCACTCCATTCTTGATGTGGATTCTTGATCCTAAGCACAGGCTGGAGTAGAAGGTTTGCCCAGTCTCCCCAAATCCAGATTCCTGATGGAATCCTGATGGTGATTCAATGATCTCCCTATTTTAATTTTTTCTTTTCCTTTTTTTTTTTTTTCCCCCAGACCCAGCATAAAGAGAACAGGTCTCACTGTATTTTATTTCTGGAAGTCAGAGAGATTACTGGAGCTGTCATTCACAGGGAAGAGGCAAGCTCAGCCAAATTATAGGTGCCCCTCCTTTCCTGAGAGGCTTAAGTATAACAGAGATGCAAAAAAAACGCCTCACTGAGTTTGTCTGAAAATAACAGACATTTCTAACCAGTCCCTGCCCCTTATCCGTGGCGTGGCATCCTAACGGAGCAAATAACAGCACACCAGAGGAAACAAAAACACCTCTGAGCAGCCTCTGACACGGTGGTTGGGTGTTATTTTGTGAAATATGCTGGGCAAGCAGAGGGAAGAGGCAGGGTGGAAGATCCTTGGAAGCCCAAGGACAGCCAAGGCAACAGGTCCAGGCCAGGGCTGACCTTGCTCCTGTTGTTGTAAAATGGGAATGACACAGTTGGGCAGGTAATTACAGCCACTCAACCCTCATCTGCATTCCACACAATGCAGCCAAGGAATAAATATAATTACCTGCTTGTCTGGGGCTGTTCCTCAGGTTAACCTCCCACCAGCCACCTCCTGCCCAGTTAAAATGATTAATATTTAAAAGTGTTAAATCCAGGGTTTGGCAGCTCTCCAGTGGATCCCCCTGCGTGCCCAGGTTTGGTGTGGAGGGCCAGTAAAACATCCCACACCCCAAACACCCAAATATCACCAGCAATCAAGAAAAATTTAGAAGAGCACGGAGTGACAATCCAAGGGACAATGGCTTTGAGCTGAGAGCAGGGTTAGATTAGATATCAGGAAGAAATTCTCCCCTGTGAGGGTGGGCAGGCCCTGGCCCAGGTTGCCCAGGGAAGTTGTGGCTGCCCCTGGATCCCTGGAAGTGTCCAAGGCCAGGTTGGACGGGGTTTGGATGTCCCTGCCCATGGCAAGAGGTGGCAGTGGATGATCTTTAAGGTCCCTTCCAACCCAAACCATTCTATCATTCTATGAAAAAAGAGGTCAAGCCAAGAGCAAAGCAAGCTAAAAAAAAAAATAATTATGGATATAAGAGAAAGCTTCCTGAGAGGAATCAAACCTATACCTTTCACTGACTAAGAAAAAGTGAATTTTCCAGTTTGTTTGGAATAGTTCTCTCACTCCTCCCAACTCCAGCCTGGACTGATGTACAGTAAGACACTGGCTGGCAGTGGCTGGGGTAGGGATTGGGCAAACTGATGGGAACTTTCCATCCCGAGTTCCTTGTGCTGATGTAAGTCAGTGCAAGACCACTGATGGAGGTTGTGTCTATTTATATCACTTGAGGATCTGGCTGATGAATCACCCCGTTGCTGTGGTTGGAAAACACTGCCTCACCGGGAAAATCCCACTTTCAGTGACACAAAAATCTCAATGGCAAGGGAAAGAGCTCCCTTCCAGCTCCAAAGAAAACTCACTTCAAATCGGGTGGGGCGACGTTCCCGCAACAATGAGAACTCGCTCCAGCTCCTCCGTGGCCGTTCAGCTCAATTGACACTGTCTAAACATCTCTTACTGGGCCTTTCCTAGCAGTGTTTCTTTTCCCCTGAGATACCCTCTGCCTCTCCTTCCTCCAGGCCCTTATCTCCCTGCACATGTTCTGCCTCACAAGAGCATAACCATAACAAACCCTGATTTATGGCCAACTTGGAAAACGCGATGACGTCCAGGGTTCCATCTGAATTCCTTCACGTTTGCAGAGTTTAGGCACTGTCCTACCAGCTGCCAAGGCATCCAGAGCAGGAAGTCAGCAGAAAAAGGAAGATAAGGGGGTGCTGGGGGCTGAGACAAATCCCCTACCATGTGTTTTTGTTTTCTTGCCCTCTCCTGCTTTAAAACTGACGCAGAAAGGCTCTTCCTCAGCTTCTTCTTCCCGTTTTCTTTTGTCCCAAAAAGACACCCTCAAGCAGAATTGATTATGTTTTCTTAATGAAACTTTAGGCTAAGGGAAGGAAGGCACCTGGAAGCACAGGTAGTTTGCATTTGATATCAAGCATAGTGTTTTTTAAGCGATCAATAAACTCGTAAATCGCCTGGAAGTGCTGGTTATATCCCATCTCTGGGAAGCTTGGAACTGCACCTGCCTTTGAAGCTGTGAGGTGCAGGGGGAATCTGGGCCTGGCCAGGGTGGCTGCTTGATGCTACTCCAGCCCAGGGGTGCCCTTTGGCACCCAAACCAGCAGAGCCAGCTGTGTGAACTGACCCTGCACTGGGGAAATCAGCCCTGCACGCATTTCCCCCCCTCTCTGCACAGGGAGAGCTGACACGGGGGGTGCCTGCACCCCACAGATTCCCTGAGTGCTGCCCTGCCAGGCCAGAGCTCTTCTGCCAGGAGAAAGGGGTCACCCCTCGGGTTCTCTAAGAGAAGGGAAGGAAAATGTAAATTTTTTCCCCCACTATTTCGCACTCAAACAGCAAAATCTTCAGCTCTTTATCACCGGTAACTTGGTCTGGGCCATTTTGCCAGGCTGGGACTGTGGAGTGCCTCTCGTTTCACCTCACGCTTGGGGTTTTGGAGAGGGTGGGGGATCTTTCCTGAGGACACAGGGCCTTTTCCCAGTGCAACCCAAAAGACAACCTGACCTGCAGCAGTCAGGGCGTCCAGGACGCTCACACCGAAGCACCTGGAACCAGATGGGTTCCAAGAAGTTTTCCACCACTGTTTCCACTCCAGAACCTTCTAACAGAGCCCTTTTTTTTGGCACAAGGTTTTCCTCGGAAAGGAGGCTGTTTGCAGGCAGATGAGAAGCATCACAAGCACGCTCAGGGTTTGTCAGCACCCATTGGTACACATATTTCTGGGGATGCTCACTGCAGCCTTCCTTCCAGCTCTCTGGTAGGGCTGGTGAATCACCCCCCAAAACAACCCCACTCAGGCAGCAGTCACGCCGAACAGCACATGAGTAAGAAGTTTATTCACAAAGTGCATGCAAATAGCAAACACATCTGTAAGCAGCAGCACTTACTGCTCCGGGACGATTCGCAAACAAGGAAAGGGGTTAAGTCTGCCACGCTGATTGCTTACAGAAAGTACATCGCTCAGCCTTAGTCATTTACATCTCTTTCTGGATTGCAATCCTGCTGGCACACAATACAGCAGGGCCTTTCATTTGTTCTCCTCCAGATGTTCAAGTCAGACTTGTTTTCTGCAGTAATTTGGTTTTTTTTTTTTTTTTTTTTTTGGAACCTGCTACAATCCCTGCTTTGCGATAGGATAACTATCCAAGCTCTGAGGACTCCAGAAATGCTGGATTTATTCTTTCTAGCTATCAATTGTGAATAAATGTATTATACTTTTGCAAAGAAGAAATTCATACAATCCTATAGAATCACCGAAGGGTTTGGGTGGGAAGGGACCTTAAAGATCATCCAGTTCCAATCCCCTGCCATGGGCAGGGACACCTTCCACTAGCCCAGGTTGCTCCAACCTGGCCTTGGACACTTCCAGGGATCCAGGGGCAGCCACAGCTTCTCTGGGCAACCTGTGCCAGGGCCTTTTCACCCTCAAAGGGAAAGATTTTTTCCTAATTTCTAATCTAAATCTACCCTCTTTCAGTTTGACTTTGTCCCATGACTATTCTGCTTCAGCAGCAATGCAGGGTAAATACTGGAATTCATCTGCACAGTGGAACAGCAAAGAAAATAATTCGTTTCTGCAAAGCAGATAATTTGTTTCTCAGCAACACAGGTATTCAGTAAGCTCACCATCGGTGGGCCCAGTGAAAAGGCCTATACTCAGACTTAAAAAAAATAAAAGCAACTATAACCCACAAAACCTTCCAAAAGGTCAGGATCAAAACCAGGGACATCCCTCCCCTATCCCCTCTTCAGTGGGTAAGTGTTTAAACAACTTATCTGATGTAATATTACCCACAGCACTCCACATCTGGACTCCCACATTTCAGAAGCACCAGTTGTGATTTCACTCCAGCAAAAGGCAAACTCTCAGGAGCTCCTTTCTTTTGGGTCTGGAATGGTGACACCTGAACTGCGTCACTGGCAGGTTAATTCAGGCTCTGATTTCACTCACTGCTCTGTGCTGAGCTCCTGCCAAACAGCTGGAAAGAGTGGGAGGAGGATCCTCCCCCACCCCCAGGAAGGGATCAGGTGAGTGAGCAACAGGCACTACATTTGTGCCAGGTGTGGGGAAAACTGGCAGTCAGGGAGTCAGCCAGCTGGGAAGCCTGGCTGCATTGTCATTTCTTGGTAGTCCTTTGGCTGCATTATCATTTCTTGGTAGTCCTTTGGCTGCATTATCATTTCTTGGTAGTCCTCTGGCTGCCTCTCAGGGCTGCTTGGGTGCCACCTCTGGTTCTACAGCCTGTGCAAAGTCTTCAAATCATGTCATACAGTGTCTGACTGGTGACCCTGCTACTGTTGCTGTTGCTTGACACCTTTTAGGATGTTTTCTCAGTGCTCAAATGAGCATTTTTGCAGTACAGTTTTACCTGTTTGTGTGTGTGCAAACCAAATCCAGTCTCCGTGTTCTCCCCTACTCTGGATGGTAATTTTTTTAGGAGCAGACTTGCACTTTACTCTTTGATTGAAGCCTGCACTTGGGAGCATCAGCAGACAAAGGGTGCATCCAAACACTGCTGTAAATCCCACGATTTGCCTTGCAAGAACCTTGCCCCTTTCAGATTTAGGATTGTTGTGAATACTCTGTACATCTTTCATTACAAGTTCCTCTGTGTGCCATCCAAGTCCCTCGACTCGCCCAGGTCACAAATGAACAGCTCTGAGCTTCCTTTGGTGCTGACTTGGTTAAAGATCCCGAGGCAGGATGGGATAAATAATTCCCAGCACATCTCACTCCATCCTTGCTCACCCTCCAAGGCCTTGGAGTGGTAGGGGACAGGGTTTCCAGGTGGAAGGAGGGCATGCCAAAGTCTGTATTCCTGATGCCTCTCACTGGATTTCATTGCATTTGGGAATAGTAGGTTAATAATAGGTTAATAATAGGTTAATTCCTGAGAGTTACAACATACAGCTGGGAGTCGCTCTTGCTTTGGGGAGCAGGGACAAAGGCTGCTTGCTTTCAGGATTTTGGGGGTTCTGTCTTTCAGATTGTCATCTTACTTTGTCAAACATCACCATCATCACATCAGCACTCAAACCACCTGCAGTGGCTGCCTTGGCAGGACCAACTACTAAATAAGGCCGATTCTCACTCCTTTCAGCCACCAGAACAGAACCAGATTTTTTTAAAAAAAAAATCAGATTAGAAGTAACATGGGAAAAGTGGTTATTTTCTGCCTCTCCAAGAGGGTAATTGTTGATACTCCTGTTGCACTGATATAAGCAGCTTTTCCCACTTCTCTTCATTCCTGACTGATCGGAGCCTTTGGAAATTATTTTGGACTGCTAGACTTGATGATTTTATCACGTGTATTTCTCTGTCCTTTTTCCTGCACCAGACATCAAACAGCACTGGCTGAAGTCCCCTGATGTGGAGGTTTAAACCAGTTCCACCCCTCTCACCTGCCACCAACACTGGGCAGTCAGGAGTAAGCAGAGCTGCAACAAATGGGCCTGGTTCAGTCCCTAGGGCTGGGGGTGTGTTTAACCTCTCAGTGAACACTGATTATGGGTGGAAGTGCCCTGTGGGGATCAGCTTGACTTACTTGCTGCTGCCAAGGAACGTGAGGAAGAAGCCAAGTGCTTGGAAAATGGCAAACCACCTCTCCTCGCTGTTTTACTGCTCATCCATTCAGGGTTGGGAAGGAAAAGGTCCCCGTTTGCCAGGGCTTGGCTGGTGCCACCTCCTGGTGTCTGGGGTGGGAGAAGAGGAGGTTTGTGTGCCCAGTGGTTGTTGGTGTCTGCCCTGTGCTGCCACAGGACTTCTTGAACCAGCTACTGCTTGTCTGCACCAGAAAGTGGTTGTGAGCCTAGCCAAGTGTGTGTCCTCAAACAGGGAGAGCAAGTTATATCATCTACATCTCCTGTGGCTAAACCTGCACCTTGACTGGCCTTTCCTGGCTACCACTTCGTTAGGAAAGAGAGGGAATTTTTTCCATGCTCCATCATATCACAGAATCATAGAATGGTTGGTGTTGGAAGGGACCTCAAAGATCACCCAGTTCCAACCCTCTGCCATGGGCAGGGACACCTTCCACTAGATCTGGGTGTTCAGAGCCCCATCCAACCTGGCCTTGGACACTTCCAGGGATCCAAGGGCAGCCACAGCTTCTCTGGGCAACCTGTGCCAGGGCCTGCCCACCCTCACAGTAAATAAATTTTCCTCTGGATTATAGCTACTCCAATAAAACTTTTACTCACTAACCACAGCTTAACATCATCCCTTCTTTGTAAAGGGTAAAGCCACTCTCAACTTCACCATCTGGGCAGGTTGGGACAGGCAGGCACTTGGGTAATGGGGATTATTCTCATGCAGTGGAGTGACCTACAGCACTGGCATTGCCCTGTCAGATCCCTGAGGATGCCCTGGGGCTGTTTGTCCTGCTCACAGCCCCACACAAAGCCTGCAGGGCCACCATCCAGGTGACATCCCTGCTCAGGGCGAGGGGCTGCAACCACGCTGTCTGTCCCTCGTAGTGCTGTGGGGATGGGAGGGGTAATGCAAGACCCACCAGCTCCAAACCAGCTCCCCACTTCACCTTCAATCTCTGCCAGCCTGCTGGGTGCCTGGGAATTTCCTGGAGCAGCCGGGCTGGCCATGGGGGAGCTCAGGAACCTGCGCCCTGGGGTCTGCTCCGCATCTGCTCCTGCAGACAAGCGACCCGAGACCGTCACCGAGCAACGGGGTGATGTGCCGCTAATTTAGGAAATGACAAACCATTTGTGTGCGTCTGCACGCCGGGAAAGGCATCCGGGAGAGGTTAAATCTGTCTTTGCAGCAGCTGGAACCGAACGGGAGCAAACACCGACGTGGGTGTGGTGCCGCTGGAAGGAGACCGCGGCCCCCAGCCCTGGTAAAAAGTGCTGAGTTTAAAATCACGTGTGCCAAGGAGACCTGCAACCTGCTTGCTCGTCTCTGTTTCACTCCACAGTGAAGTCTTGAGGATGGGTTTGCCTTTTTTTTTCTTTTATCATCAAAAGAATCCTGAAAGTAAATTTCAGGTTCTCCACTCGACGCGTCACTTGTGATGAAAATGGGGTCAGAAACAGAACGCCCTGCTGGATACTACCTGAAAAAAAGCAGTGGTTGTCTGTATTATGTGTCTTCAAGGAAATCACCGGTGGTTACTCATCTTAACTGTCCCATTTCTGCTTGCTTTTAAAAACAAAGTCATCTCTCACCTGAAGCTTTCCTAGAAGGCAGCTGGCCATGAGGGGGGATGGTGTGGTTTGTGGTGTTACAGGCACCAGCACCGCCCAGTTTCACACAAGCACTGCTCAAACTGTGGTTCTGTCCCAGTGGGAATTTCCAGCACGCCCATCTAGCCAGGGGTGGAGCTGTCTGATTAAACAGGAGTGACTGAAGCCCTTGAGAAGGACGGGGGAAAGGCCATTTGTGCAGCTGCAGGGTGGATCTCTGCGGGGCTGCACAGCCAGGCGGCCACAGCCGAGCAGAGCCACTGATGCCTGGGATGTTCCCCATGCTCCCTCCCAGGTAAAAACACACATATGTCCAGCTCTGAGCCTGCTGGGCTCATCTTCTTGCCAGCAAACCCCCTGCATGTGTTTGAAAAGAGGAAATGCAACGTGCAGCTGAAAGCAGGGGTGAGGCAAGGTGCGAGGCAGGTTCACCCCGGGGTAGGTGATTCTCGTCAAGCCTGTTACCTGATTTTCCAGAGATCAGATCTGGGATAAACCTTTTCCTCTCTGGGTTCCAAAAAGGCTGCAGGGCAACGCATGAGTTTACCTGGACAAAGGAGGAGGCTGAGATGGGCAAAACTAAAACTCCCCAGGGGGGAAGAGTCAGAACAACAGAGGCTCCTTCCTCAGGATTCTTTCCAAGGCTGATCTTACTCCATAATTTTCCTCAGCGCTTTGGCTCAGAACGTCAGCATGTGCTAATACAATTTGCTGATGACACAAAACTGGGAAGCAACATCAATTCAGAGTGTTAGAGCGTGTTACAGTAGGAGCTGATGACCCAAAGTGACAGAAAAGGGAGGAAATTCAGTAGCACGAGGCCTTCCATTTGGGAACTGCTGTTTTTTTGGCTGCAAGCAAGGAATTCATCACCTAACAGGAACAGAACATTTTCCCCTGAGCACAGGGCAGTTATGGATGATAACATGAAGCAGCTGTGAGGAGGGGACTTCACTTTAAAACACTTTCAAAGAGGTGTGCCTGTCAGGGATCCCTCGGGAAGGGTTGAATTAATGCCCCTGTAAAAGCTTTTGGTCAGCTTTGCTTTGCCACAGCAGGTGAAATTCTTGCTTCCAGTTGCCCACACGGATTCCCAAGGGAGGCAAAAGAGGGGTGGAGATTCGATGAAATGTTTGAATCACTGAGATATAACCAGATTCTGGAAGAGGCTTCCTATGGGATCAGGGAGTTCAATAATCCACCTGCTCTTATTGTGGAGTATGATGAGTTGGAAAAGGGAGCACACACCTGCAGCAGGTGATCCAAGGAGCATTTTTTAACCACTTGTCCTGTCCTAGCACACTTCCTTACAGTGCTTATAAGTGATAAAACACAGAGCTTTGAAGCTCCAGCTTTTCCTCGGGTTTCAGAAGATAATTGGAGGGGTTTTCAAGCCTGCATTCCACGCCCTGCCTGCAGAGCACTGCAGTCAGAACCTGGGGGACTCAGGTTTCTGAGTATAAAGTGATTTCAAGATTTCAAAGGCATGTCCAAACCACTTATCCTGAAAAAAAAAAAAAAAAAATCTGGCTACAACCAGGCCTCTCAAAAACCCCATTGAAAAAAAAAATGGAAGCAGTGAAGGCTTTGAATACTTCTGTTTTGCCCACTATCATTTGCCCTTTTCCACAGCAGATTTTGAGCACAACAGATTTTTCCCCTTCACCACTGAGACACCTGCAAGGTGTCAGAAGTTGTTTCCCATCTGTCTGGTGGCTGTGGCTCCACGGAGCCCTACAGGTGTACAGTGCTGATAATAGATAGATAAACCAATTTTTAGGATTTTTTTTTTTTTCCCATGGGCTCACAAAAGCTGAGGTTCTTGGGCTGGTAGGCTTGGCTGCACATTTTTCCTTGTGCAGCATTCATTTTTTGATGCCTACAGCACTGTCCAGCAAGAGGGAATTGCACAGCTTTTTTTCAGGACACATCATTCTTTCAGAGTGTTCTATTTAAAACATGCAATCATAAACCCCATAAATCATTATCACTCAGCAACTGGGACTTCCTGCCCTAAAAGCTCTTTGTTTATAAGTCATCACCAATCTTTTTATTAGTGAATTCTCCAATAACCCAATGTATTTGAGGACTACCTGGAAGGGTATGATTGATGCCTCCTGCTCACACTTTCCCGCTTTCCTAATAAATCAGGAATGAGAAGCAGCCAGAGCATCTCCATCTGAGCACTCCCCACCTCGTGGGCTCCTCCTTTTCGTTGCCTTTTCTTCACACTGTTCTGCTTCCCTGCATCCCACGGCACCCTCCGGATCCTCGCAGGAGTCCAGCAGCAAGAGGGCACTTTCAGTTTTCCTTTCCCTCCCCCAAGACACCTTTTCTTTCATCCTGGGCTGAGCCTGACACGTCACCCCACAAGACTTTCCTCCACCCCTCCACCAGCCTCCAGGCCCTCTCTCCTCGGGAGGGCAGCTCTCCCACTTTTGGCACTCCAAGCGCTGCGGCTTTTGAGTGGAGGAGTCAATGACTTCTCCGAGCACATTCCCATTCATGTTCCCCGCTCCTGAAAGCCAGCCCTTCCTTATCTCCACCCATCTTGCTGCTGGAGATCACAGAGAACAATAAACAGTTAACAAACTGCCCCGGGGAATAGCTGGGGTGTGTTTTTCACGTGGAGCTTTGCATCACACCCCGGCGTGCCCGCACATGTTCCAGACCCCGAGTTCCAAGCTCAAAGCCACTCTTTCCCAAAAGTTTTAATTCATATCTCTTTTATGCAAGAAAAAAAAAAAAAAGCATTTCCATGTAGTGCTGAGAGCCGGGGGCTTGTGAGGGTTGACAGACAGAGGGATCCACCGCTCTCAAAATATTAAACCTGGTTTTCCCTCCTCGTTCCAGCGCTTCACAAAGCAGTGACTAAATCGTCGCTGCTTTTCCCCCTCTGAACCGTGTCTTTCTGCCGCCGGAGTGAAGGGAATTTTGCCCCAGGTGAGAACAGCCAGGAAAGCAAGAGTGAACCGCAGTGACAGCGCCAGCAGGAACACGGCCAGGGGGTAAAGCTGTCTCATCCTTTGTGATCCTCTGCATCCTCTGGCTTTTGTGCCGAGGAGACAGCAGCTCACCTTTCCCTGAAGGGCTGTGGTGTGGGGAGGGTGGAGAGCAGACTTTTCTTGACGGCTTCTTCAGCTGGGCTGTGAAGGAGACCCGTCTTATTAATACTTTCCTTAAATACTCTGAAAAAAAACCACCAAACCACCTTTTATTCCACACCTTCAAAGAAAGATGGTTTGTGGAAAGAGGAAATGGCTTTTCTTAGCTCCCCTAACACAGCTGGAAAACACAGGTGAGGTTTTGGGCACACAGCCCTTTTTTTCTGGTTTCCTTCTCCTGTAATTGCTTTAGGATGTGCCACGGATGTACAGCACACCTACAGGAGAAGGGAATGTTGGGGATAAAAGGATGGTTTTCCCTATCCCACAAACCTAAACCTCTTTATAGACCCGCCAGGTTGAAACCACTAACAAATCATTTTCGGACGCGTCTTCCTGCGCAACAAACGGGCCTCGAAGATCTTCCGGAGGTGGTTCAAAAATGCAAGCAGTGAAAGGGAATCTTGGTTTTCTCCTCGGGTGTTTCCATCTGGAATACTCTGAAAAACACGGCGAATCAGTTCAATTGAGCAGGAACACACTGAAACCCTTCAAAAAACACTCCGGGGAAAACAATGGCACTTGCAGTGACTTCCCCGCAGCGCGTCGGGGAGGGGAGAACAAAAGGGCCGATTTATCGGGCGCGAGAAGAATGCTGTTATTGTTCCTTTATTTCCTACACACACCCACCCAAACAGAAAGGAGCCCTTCCTCGGAACACCACCGGGCCGGGGATGTCTCAGCTGCTCTGCCCGTGCAGGCAGGAACGCCAAGAACTTTACGGGATTGCTTAACAAGCTCTGAGCAAGCGGCTCTAACCCCTGGCGAGGGCGTAGGGGTGTGTGTGGGGGGGTTTCGGGCCGAATTTGCATAGAGGTGTAAAGAAGCGGCTCTGACTTGTCTCCACCTTTGAAACCCGGTTAATTGTTCCTTTGATTCATTCATCCACGCTGCCTGGTTAGCAGGGAACACGCCGCCGCTCGTGTTGGAACTCGACCTCGCCAGCGTGTTCCGAGCCCGGACAGAAGGGCTGGTTTGGTCGGCATCGCCACAAACACCAAACTTCCAGTAAGAGGAGAGGGGTTTCTGCAGGATGACTGCAGCAGGGGGGCTCGGTGTGACGTCCATCCCTCCAGCTGATGGCTGTGCTATAAATCACCACCACCTCAGGGCTTCACCTCCGGAACCAACGGGTGCTTCCCGGAGCTGTTCATCCTCTAGGAGTTTCCAGAAGTAAAAAAAATATCAACTGTGTGATGGCCACCAGCAACTGCTACTGCTTTTGTGATGAATTAGGATAGGAAATGGCTGCACAGTGGCGTCCTAACCCAAGCTCAGCAGAGAATAAACTGCAGCTGCAGCATAAATGTGGATAGCACCCTCATTTCTGTACTCCAGAAATGACTTTCAGCCTGATGTTTTAACCTAGTGCAATACTACAAGAGATTGAAAGCAGGGGAAAAAAAAAAAAAAAAAAGACAGGTCTTGAGTAGATTCTTTCACTTTGCTTGGTGTTACTGTGATTTTTAGTTATTCCACCAAAATACTTGATGAATCCTTTAACATTAAAAATGGGATTAAAGCATGGCAGCACTGGTTTCCTCACTTGCTGGCCTTTGGTTTTTTCAAGTTAAAAAGAAGTTGTCATAACTCAGGGATTCCTGAACACCTTTTTTTTTGCAGCATGAGCAAAGCCAGCTGAAATTACCTTTGCCCAGGAGGGCACATGGGCAGCTAATGCTCAGTAACTAAGGTGGGATGGCAATTCATCTGACCCACTGGGGCATCAAGTTATTTGAGCTAATTGTCCCTTTACAGCACACTGAAGGGAAGAGGAAAATCCAGAGGAATTCACCTTACCCTCTGACAGAAAGCAAAAATTGGCCAGTTGACTCATGCCCAAAAAACACACCCATTTCTCCCACTGACAATAAAGGGAGCCTTGGGTGCTGTGCTGATGGAAACAGCACAGACATGCCAAGGTGAGTCAAATCCCACCCCCACACGGAGCCCTGAGCCACCAGGGCCTGCCCCAGCTCCTGCCCCAGAGCTGGCTGTGAAAGGGAGACCGATCTGTTCCCTGCTCACACTCCATAAAAAGCTGTGGAGGGTCTTCGTGTCTCCAAGAGAACATTTCCCTCCCCTCCAGGAGTCACGTGGAGGAGTGAAGAGTCTCCTAGCCAGTTTTTGCTGCTCATAACCCAGGCCATCACTGCCCTTCATCCAGAAGATCTGTGCCCCCTCAGGGGTTACTGAGGTGCTCTCCAGTGTCTCTCTCTGCTGCCATGAAATGTGCTGGCCCCGGAGCACTGATCTTGCCACCAGGATTTTGGGTGTTTGTGGCTGCCAGCTCACACCTTCACCTCTCCAAACTGCCCACGGACCCTCACTTGGGTCTTCCAAGATTTCAGTGTCAGTGTCTCACCAATCAGGGCAATTACAACTAATTCTATCACAGCTGCTGTGAGGGTTAACAGCAACCCCTGTACCCCAGATTACCTGGCACAGGTGGTGACTGTCCTCTGGCCCATGGCTGGGTGATGGCCCTCCTTCCTCCCCTGTGCCATCCCCACTTCCTGAGCCTAAGCCTGGCCACGAGGAGAAGGCCTCCAAGGGACGAAAGGAGCAGAGATGTCCAGGATAGCACCCAGTTGGCATGGAGCCATGTGGGATCCCCTGCAGCCTGGGGGTTGGCAGGCTGTCCCCAGCCCTTGGAGGGATGTAGTAACCCAGGGAGGGTGCCCACACTCACTCAGAGCACGTCCCAGCTCTGCCAGGAGGTATCTGATGGTACCAGGTGGACGCTGGGTCGTGGGATAAACAGTATGGACTTCCACTATTAAGTAAATAGCACGGTAGGGAAACAAACACTGCACATGTGCACAGAGAGAGGCATTCACTCAATAAACATCAAGCTCCTCAGTCAAAAAGGTGGGACTTCGAGAGAGCAGAGGAGAGCAGAGGGATGTCACCCAGCAGGCACCACACGCACACACAGTGATCGTTCAGCACGCAGATGTAAAAAATAGCGGCTGCGTAGTTCGGAAATACAAAAATAGTTTGGCTGTTCCCTTCCCCTCTCCCTTCAGTCATCGCTCCTCTGCAGCCCCGGGCTTTGTTTGTGGCAGTTGCTATGGGGAGGCTGTGGCTGGCAAGCCCTGCTGGGGAACAGTCCCAGGGAAATGGCCCTGAAACAGCTCCAACCCCGCCTTTCTCCCTGTCCCCATCAGGTGCTCCTCCATGCAATAAAGCATCACAGTGTATCCCTTCTTCACAAAGCTTTTTCTGCCCTTTTAGAGGAGCTGTGGTGTCTGGGGAGAAAGTTTTTGGGCTGCTCCTTGCAACAAGTGCCATCACAGAGCTGTCGGCATCACAGAGCTCCCGGTGGGGGAACGCGCTCGTGGCCACGCCTGACCTTGGGAAATATCCTGGACCAAATCCTGCTGGGTACCATGACCCTGCAGAGCCACCTCTGCTGCCAGGAAGAGCAGGACAGGGAACAGCAACTGTCCCCTTCCTCCTCCCTCAGGGCGAGCTGGGGGCTCAGCACAGCAGCCCGTGCATCCCACGGGAGCAGCGCCCTGCCTGTCTCAGAGGACATGGCCTTGGGTGGGGAAGTGGCAGCACTTCCAGCGCTTGCAGGAGCACAAATGCCCCGCCTGATAACAAGGGTGTGCAGGCAAGGGCTTGCAGCACCCTCTGGCTCTATCCAGAGGTGACTTTTAACAAACATCTGCCTCCTTTCCACGCCCCCACCTCTGCCAAGCTCCCTCCCGGCGCCGTTCCGTGCCTCAGATCCCCGTGCTGGCCCGGTGACAGCCCGAGCAGGTCAACCATCCACCTCTCTGCCTCTGCTGCCACTTGACAGCCCTTCGTGGAGTGCCTGCAGCCCATCACCTCCTCCCAAACTCATTTTGGCACGCCCCTCTATTTGCGAGTTTAAACGCTCCTGTCTGCAGTAAACCCGTCCTGCTTGGCCCCGCAGCTGTCTGAGCGCCGCGTTTCCCTTTCCTGCAGCCTTCAAACACTCTGTTTGACACCCAAAGGCCTCACATTTTTCTAACACCTTCTCTGTTTGCAGCACTGGTGCAGACATTCCTTGCCATCTCCCCCCATCCAACGCCCCGGCGAGGGCGGCGAGCAAATATTGATGCTCTTTCCTTGGGTGGGAAGGCTGAGACAAAGCGAGAGCAGCTTGTCTGGGACCACAGGGTGAAGCCTCCCCGGGGCAGGCAGCTCCTGAGCCTCCTCTCCCGTTGTGAGAGTGCTCTGTTTGCTCTCAGCCCATGGATTTTCTCACACCTGTGGCTGGCAGAGGTGTTTGCTCTCCATGAGCTTGGCCACCGGGGCAGAGCAACGTGCGAGCAGAGCATGAGTGAGAAATGTTTCCTGCTGGGGACTCGGGTTTTTAGGGCTGCTTTTTCACTCTGTGGAGAACACCCAGCCCTGACCTTCTCCACTGGCTGGGCTGGAAGTGCTGGAGCTCAGTTTTATATATATAAAAAAAAGGCAAAGTGTGAAAAATGGGACAGGACTTTCCAGAGCTCGTGGGTGGCTTTTGCTGCCACGCAGGTGGGGACAGCGAGGTTGAGCTACAGGGACGGGAGTGGGGATTTACAACCTCCCCATCTCCAGTCCTGTGCTCCTCCAGCCCTGCTTCAAGCGGATCCAGCCCAAAAAAGCCAGGTCTTGGCTTGCTTTACACAGAAAAATGGGGGTTTGCATGCTGAGCTGCCTGCCCACTTGAATTTTCAATTCACACTGCCCTAAGGATCAGGTACCAGGTGCCTCAGTGAAGTGAGAAGGAAGCTGCATTTGCTGTCCTGCCTGTTCTTAGCCGCGTTTATTTCTGAGCTCTGGGATCTCAAACACCAAACCCCGAGTATGTCCAGCCTCTCGGCAGAGCTGTGCCGATCAGAAAAGGAGCCATCAAAGGGAAGCACCGCTGCCAAAGGAGTGCCCCTGACTTTCCCTAATGGCTCGCGGGTGGGGGAGGAAAAAACGACGACTTTATTGTTTTTCTGTCGGGAACGGTATTTATACAAAGCTGGCAAAAGGCCAGGGTTCTGTTCCTGGCAATCCCCGTCACCTCTGGGCTGGCACAGGTGAGCAGAGCCCAGCTGGCACAAGGTGTGCCCTCCAGCAGCTTCCCCTGCAGCTCTGCCAGGGCTTTTGAGCCCTGCCAGGCTCTGAACTCCGAGCACTTTACAGCTGGAAAGTCTGTCAGGCCACACTTCCACGACTGTCTAGTTTGTTTTTTTCTTTTCACGTGAGTTTTGACTCGCACCGAGTGCATTTTCAATTCAAAAGCTTGGTTTCAATGTGGCTTTTTATTTCTTTTTAAGTGCTTAATGAGCGACGATCACCCTCCTGTAGCACCGACCTCCGGGGCAGACACAGCTTCATTGCCACAGCCCTGTCTATTAAACCAAAACACGAGAGACCCGTATGGATTAGAAAGTTTTTCAGGAGCATTTCAGGAATTTTGGTGGCTCAGCGGGAGTTTGGTAATATCTGTAGCCGGCTACAAATTTACCTGCGCTGGAATTCAGCCTTTCAAGATTCCAGGGCACGTTTTCTAGGCTGGGGCTCCGTTTCAAGCCCTTCAGTTTTACAGCCTGCCTGTGACAACGGAGAGCAATCGAAACAATTACATCCTTGCCACGGACAGCCTGAAAACCGAGGAAAGAGAATGGGAAGGTGTGGCAGCACTGCTGGAAAAGCGATTAACCGGGAAAGCGGGCCAGGATTCACCGGGAAACACCCCTTGGCAAGGAGCTGCTGGGTGATCTTGGCTGAGTGAGCACCTGGCTGTGCTCTCAGCAGCCCCCCACAAATACATCCCCCCTCGTACCACCAGCAGCCAGGAAGCCTCAGCACTGAGTGGGCACGTTGTGCTGTCCGTGCAGAAAGCCTTTTCCCACCTGGGTCCTCTCTGGGAAGTGTGTTCTGGGCTCCAGAAGGGGTGGTGAGAGTTCAGAGAAGGCTCTACCTGTCGCGGGGAGGCTCAAGAGAGGAGGTTTCCCCCACAAGGTGACTCCATAAGTATTAAGCTTGTTATGGAAAACTGGACAAAGAAGGAAAAGATCAAGATCTGGATTAAAAAAAGAAAAAAAAAAAGGAAACTACAAGGTGGATGTTGAAGAAACCTGGGATAAA